ATTTGGACGTATGTTCATACTGACTAAACTAAATGTTCGACGAAAATAGTATTTCTTCTCTTATATTGAGTTTAACCGTCGTATATCCATTTTGTATACTCCATTTGATGGTTGATTGCTCATTTTTCCTTATTTCGCACATAAAATTTATCTGAGAAAGTATCTTTTCTTAAATATAGCTCGGCACAGAGTACAACTTGCGTACTTGAAACTGGCGTAAAAAGCAGAGACGGATAATTCTAGTCAATACTTACACTACAGTGAGGCTCACTGGAAACTTATTTCGTATTCTACCAACTTCGCGAACAAAATCTACACTGATTAGGAAAGATCCATTTCCATCTTTTGTACTAGTTTTATGTCAGTTTCTTACTAGACTTTCAGAGACTTCTTTTGCTTGTCTCGAAAACTTGCTTTTTTAGACAATAATCAACGATATTCACGGTCATATATCATTAAAACTAAAAGGGATCGTTTTCTAAAAAATAGATCAGAATCGTCCACAACTCGTGTACTTTAAACTAATATATAACGATGGAAATAGATCATCTGTATAGTTCAGCACAGAGCTGGACAAGTCAAGTCAGACTTTGACTTGACTTGGTCCAAACTTTTTTGGAGTGTGACTTGACTTGAGAAATTTTTTCAAGTCAAGTTATTTCTAGTAAGAGATTTTCGTTTAAATTGGACTTTTCTACCATGAAAAAGAGTTTCTGAGGCTATAAAAACTCTCTCATCCAAAAGCTGCTAGCAAATTTTATGTTCTGCCTAACTTTAACCAGACTTGGAGGAAAAAATTTCAAGAAATGACTGGACTTGATTGAAAATTTTTTTAGTGACTTGACTTGTGACTTGAAAAACTCCTGACTTGCTCAGCTCTGGTCCAGCAAGAACAAAGAAGTAAGGTGCCGATAATGCAAACTTTGTGCAAAATGTTTTTCCTACTTTGTTCTACATCATTGGATAGAGCGTATCGAATTGATTAAGAAAATGTGTGTTTCGACTTTTCAAAATCAATTTTTAATGTCGGAAATTGAGAAAAGTTAAGTAACAAAAAAAGAAAAGAACAATGCTAGATATACAAGAAGGATCAGTAAGAAACACTCGATCATGAACATGGCGTTTTATCTAAACCACCTTTTTGTGCTTTCTTTTTTTTACCTATTTGTTGTATTTAATTTGGACAGTTAAAAGAGAAAAGAGAGACTTCAGACTAAATAGTACTAATGTTATTTATATCAGTCTTAAAGAAGCAGATGAGGAGTGAGGGCTTGTCAACTGTAAGGTCGGCACAGAAGAAATCCAAAATGAAGTTCTCGAAAATGTAGGAGAATAAATTAAAAAAGTTTTCGTTTATGTATTTTCTCTGAAGAATAAAGCAGAAAATCGGAACCAGAAAAGGACAAGTAGTAGTACCAAGGTCATATTTTTTGGAAAGAAAACCATACGGTTAGGGTCAGTATCGAGTTCTGAACAGAACTGTCCATTCAGTTCTTTAAAAAAGTGAAATTTCTTTTTCCTAAGAGGGTACTTCAGGCGATCTTTTGACGAAAACAAACATTCTTCGAAGAAAGTTCAAATAACACATAATTGGACGCTTTTCTTCAAGTAGATTACGAATATCACATTTATTTTAATGTAAAAATGTATTTTAGCGGTGAAAATAGTCAAATACCGGTCAACATTTCTCTAGTTTTTCGTATTTCTCAAATTCTGACTCTGTTTTGTATCTTGTCTTTCATTATGAGCCATATTCGGAAAGAACACGAAAAACTACATCGAACAAAGTATATAATTCAGTGGATTAAGGCTTGATAACAGGGAAAAATATCGTACGAGTAGGTAGAATATTCTGTTTATTACTTATGTTTCATTTCACGCCAAAATAAACCGGAAAGGTTAACAACAAGAAAACGGTATCCTGTTCCCCCCCACAAAATCTAGACGAAATCAAGCATACTCTAGGAACGACTAGTAGTATTAACATGCATATGAATTAGTATAACAACAACGATAAATATGCTGGTAATAATCATAACAGAAAACAAGTTAGTTCTAAATAGCTATGTTTTTTATATTCCATCAGGAGACTACTCATGCAGATTCAATAGTCGTCCTATTAGATAAAATCTCTTTAATCGATCAAAAAATTAATCAAAATTCTTAAAAAATAATTTTTTCTAAAAGGTCATCTCGCCCTAGGTGGAGTTAACTTCAAAGTTAAGAAGCTTTCAAGCAGAGTTGCAACTTACCAGTTTTTATCAATTTTGAGACAAATTCAATTTTTTTCGTCTGTTTTTGAATAAAAATAACGAACAGGTGAGATAGATCGCAAAATAGATAGAAACTGAGATATATAGAATTATTGCCTAAATTTGATATGTTGTGCATGTTTTGACTTTCCCTTCCGTTTCATCAAATTTTCTGTATAGTAATATTCGTATCTCATCGTCTAATAACGAAATGTGTATTTCGAAGCGTCACATTGTGTATAATAATAAATTTATAATGATTAGACTTAAAGCTGCTGTAAATTGTATCATATTTTTACTCAAAATTTTGCCTGTACAAAAACAAAATTATGAGATATATAGAGGAGAAGTTTCTTTCGGTTTATAGCAATCAGGAAGTGTAAGCTAGTGTATTTGTTTATATATCTAAAACACACACAAAAACCAGAATCAGACATGGAATTGATAAATACACAGAGTGGCTCACCCCTGATCCAAACGGCCACAATGTTTTTACTCTTTCTGCGCATGTCTCAGTTTGTTTGGTCTTAACTCACATCCTCCTTCTCTTTACCTTAACGTCCTTGATGAATAGCCACCAGGCGGTGATAATGGGACTGTTGTTGCTGGCGGTAATGGTCAAGGAAATAATATTAATCAATTAAATGGTCCAAGTGGCATCTATTTTGATAGTATCTCAAATACCATGTACATAGCAAATGAATTCGGACATTCAGTTATGAAATGGAAAATAGGAGATCCAAGTGGAACATTCATAGCTGGCATACCTGGCGTAGCCGGATCAAATTCAACTACTTTATCAGGTCCAAGTGGTATAAGATTAGATTCATATGGAAATCTTTATGTTAGTGAATTCGGTAATGGTCGTATTCAAATGTTTTGTCCGAATAATAGTACTGGTACAATAATAGCTGGTACAGGTGTATCCGGAAATAGTGCTAATCAATTAAGTAGTCCAGCCAGATTTACGTTTGATTCACAAATGAATTTATATGCATCAGATAATGGAAATAATCGTATACAAAAATTCATGATTTTATAAAGTAAATATTATACTTGATTATTACCTCTTTCTTGAAATTATCATAAATAATCGTCGTTAACTGTTTAATCAGTGAATTATACACGTGGTTTTATATATATCTATTCAAAACATACTTCAAATTCACAAGACTTTTTCTCTATCGTAATCCAATCTTATGACAACAATTAATTGTAGTGTTATACGAGACTGATGTCAGTTGTTCATAAAAAGTAACTTTTTCTTTCTTCTGTCTAATATGACTGGTGTTTGTGTTAATGCTTGGTGTTTCTGTTAATGATTGGTGTTTCTGTTAATGATCATTATAAATTATCATTCAAAAGTTGTTGTATTGCATCTGAGACAAATTTTTCAATAGACTGGCGTAGGAGATTCACATCGGTGTTTGGTTTCCATGGAAGAAAATACTTCGACTGAATTTCTCCACTAGATGGGATACTGATTAGAGATGAATTTTTCTGCTGTTTTGCTACTTCACTGTCATACAACGATTTCAGTTGATTACCACCAACTTCGAAAATAAAATTCATTAAAACTTCAAATGATGAACATATGACGATTGCTTCGTACTGTAAAATTAAGTGAAAAGTAAAACTTAGACAAACGTTTAGCTATTTCATTGTCAAAGTTGCTAGAATTCAAAAGAAAAAACTAAAATTTCACATATTTGCACATCGTTAGTCTCTAGAAACATGTAATTTAGTACTTTCACTTTCCGTTCTCTCTCTGATAGATTCAAAAAGAAGTAAATATTCAAATATAAATACCTATAAGGCTTGGCCAGTTAACGGTCGCCTTCAAAACCGGAGATGTGAATACAAAAACGGACAAAACTGATTCGACCATTCGAAAGAGTGGTGTCGATTACTTATAAAACCGCAGTTG